CAGACAGGAATGGTATTGACTACATTCTCTCTACTACTACATTCTTATTGTATGTGAAGATGGTGTTTGTCTCTGTTTCTCTGGAGATAAAAAAAAAACTGTCAACTTTCGCAAAAAGTGGTTGATGACTACCGGAAAGGATGTTAACCACATAAAAAACAAAATCTTACATTTACAAGTGTGTAGCCAGCAAAGTAGATTTTAAAGGAACTACAGTATTCAACACAGTTTTAGCCTGACTCCAAATATTCTATTTAATTATTTAAGTACTTGTAGTTCTTCACAATGGTATTTTGCCTTTAGTGAGGGTATGTAAATATGTGATGTAGTTATGTAGTCACTATCTAGGCTTTTCTGACAGAACATTTGGAAAGGGTTTCTTGCATTGGTATGCAGGGTTTTGTTTCATTGTTGCAGAACAGCTTTTACTTGGATGATTCTCCAAGAATTTTTGTTACTTGGTGGCTTTTCTAGCATTTCTTTGCACAGATTTTTTTGTAAAACCGTTTCTGCAGGGGAGAGCACCTATGGTGCTAAATTTCTTCCATTTGTAAATGGCAAGGACGTTTACACCCAAACATCACATCCCTATGTGTTATTTGAACATGTCATTCCAAAATCATGGGCACTGATATGGAGTTGGCCAACCTTTGCTATTGCAACAGCCTCTCCCTTTGTAGCAGGGGTGTGGGGGGGTTGCTTCCATCTAGCCACCGGAGTATCATTGAGGTTATTCACTGATGTTGAGCAATAAGGCATGACTCATCACTGTTCCAGGGACGTGTCCGATGGCTGGGTTGAAAGCACACCTGCGGCTTCTTCCACTGTAAAATCCAAATCTCCAGACTAGCTGCTTGGCACTCATAGTGCGTCTTTGCTCCGTCTACCAGGCTCGCTAGCCTCTCTTGGCAATGGGCTCGAGGGTAATAGCACAGTGCATGTATGAGTTAACCAGTGCTTCACGGAGGTGGTCTAACTCGAGGTACGAAGGACATATATTGCGGCCCTAGTAGGATCCAGTATGCCGGGGCACTGTTAGCAGCCGTGCTGAGAATAAATGCAGTGTTACCATGACGTTCACTGCTTTGAGTGACCAGCATCCAGGTGCTCAAAATGAAATGGTATATATTTCTACATTTTAACAGTGCGGATAAAAAGTATTAATTTAGTACAAGAATGTGCTGACGAAATGTATTGTGACATCGCCACACGAAATTGTAAGTAGTTCTTTTTTTAAAGAGAAGAAATGTTTGATCATTTGTTTAAGATTAAGATGACCCTTGTTAGTCCCATAATGGGGAAATTTCACCTCTGCATTTAACCCATCCGTGCAGTGAAACATCACATACACACTTGTGAGCGCACACACACACTAGGGACAGTGAGTACACTTGCCGGGAGCAGTGGGCAGCCCTGTCCACAGCGCTCGGGGAGCAGTTGGGGGTTAGGTGCCTTGCTTAAGGGCACTTCAGTCACGTACTGTCGGCTCAGGGGGTCAAACCGGCAACCTTCTCGTCACAGGGCTTGTTCCCTAACCTCCAGCCCACGACTGCCCTAAGGACTTTCATATTGAAGAGCCTGAATATGAGTGGAGTGGTGGGTTTTCTGGAGTAGAGCAGGGGGCTGTATTTAGAGCTGTATAGCTGTTGGCACTGAAGAGGCTGGGTTTCTTCTCACCATGTTTGGCATTGTTTTCAGCAAATCAAAAATAATGCTGCATTATGAACCCTAACCTCAAGTCATCTTAATTTCCTTTTTTGCAGTGCACATTTCATAGCCCATATTTAGCAAAGGAAAAATAAATATCAGAATCCCAAAAATGAAAAACCGAATAGCTACTCAATGAATGAATATACATATAGTCTCTTATTCAAGTGCAACCCTACCTTTCACCAAACTTTAGAGTTCATGCTATGTTTTGAGGCAGGCAGTGTTCTTCTGGCATCCATATCCATAATCAGACGGCCAGATGGTGAAGCATGATTCATCTCTCCAGAGAATTGGTTTCAGCTGCTCCGAGGTGTGCTTTACGCTACTACACCTGACTGACACTTGGTATTGCACATGGGGAACATAGGGTTGTGTGAGGTTGCTTGGTCATGGAAACCTGATCTGTGACGCTACCAACAAACAGTTCTTGGCCGACGTTTCTTCCAGAGACAGTTTGGAAGTGTTGCAACCTAGGACAGACATTTAAGTACTATGCGCTTCAGTATGCTTGGGCAGTATCTATCGTTTTCATACTTCCATACCTTCCTGATATTTCACCGGGGTACAGGGTATATGTCAGTATCTGAGTAAAAAAAAAAAAAGCTGCTGGCGATAGAAGGCATTATAGCATGTATGACACCGTCTAGCCTAAAATACAATATATCTAATAGGCAATTAGCCTACACAGACAAGTCGTTCTTGGTTTAAATATTTATGGCCTATGGAATAATGAATAGATAGAAAATTAGCACCCTTCATCCATAGATTTAGAATACTTTGCTGGAGAGACTGCCACACAAAAAGTGCCACCCATCACAGTACAGGCTTAATTCAGAAAATTAGGCTACGTTTACACAGCAGGTAAACGTGGCCCAGATCTGATCTTTTTCTCTGTATGTGACACAGATGTGTCATCTGTGTGTCAGTGTGAACAGCAAAAAATGCATTGAATCTGATATGTTTAATTCCGATTTGAGACGCTTTCATATGTGGTACTGAAATCCGATACGTATCCTATATGCGGCAGTGCAACTCAGAATTGGAATTCATGCGACTTTTACGCCAGTCCAACTCATTATTCGTCATAATTTTGCGCTGCTGAGACTCATAAACTCATTTAAATGCTGATGTTTCTGTTTTAAAAAAATAGAAGAGACTTATCGCAACCCCTCTGTGTTCAGAGAGATTTCGAACAAAACGGCTGAACGCAGCCGGAGGAGACCGAGGCTGCGGTGTCAAAAAAAAGTTCAAAGAATCTGAGGACACGAACCAACGAAGTGGCATTGGCAGAATAACGTGCACTTTTTACGAACTCAAACACATTGTGGGTGATAAGCCTAGCTGTCTACTTTTGAAACTTCATAATCGCTCCTGTGATGCTGGCGAAGATGAAACTGAAAGCTCCGGGAGTGACTGCCATGATTGTTTACCTCTGGATGAGCCACGTGAAGCAACGTGACGCGTTGTTCTTTTGCGCTTGCCGGTCGGTTTAGGAACATGATCTGTTCAGACTGATGTCGAATATAGGTCACATTTAAAACATAATCTGAACAGCCAAACAAAAAAATCGGATTTGGTGAGAAGATCAGATTTGGCCCACTTTTACCTGCTGTGTAAACATAGCCCTAGTATTCTGTTAACACACATTATTGTCTCAATGTTTGAGAGTGCAAAAGTAGAGTGACTTATCGAACGTGTTCTTTGGTGTGTGCAGAGAATGTGCACTTCTAATTCATGCAGCTCTTTGCTGTGGCTGTTATGCTCAGTTTTTCTTTATCCTTGGCTCTGATTTCTCTCCTCTTTTTATCAGCAGAAAGAAAGAGTAGAGAAAAACATTTACATACCAGCCCACATTATAGCAGGTATTGTTAAGAACAAAATGACAATGGAGCAGCAGCAGTGAAAATGGCAGACTGTGTGCAGAAATGTACTGTTCCAGGCTGTGAAGGGGATGTTGGCACTTTTCATAGGCTAAAGTTGGCTTCCTTCTTAATCAAATGAATTCCACCTTAAATGCTACAGCTTGTACAGGCACCAGAGTATAACTGTGGCACCATTTAAGGTGGAACAGAAAATTCGCAAAACAAGCTGGCGAATAGGAATCCAACTTAAGCTCCCACATCAACAGGATCCCGATCATTTTTAGTTCAGAGTTGTTGGTTTGCTCTGCACTTTTTGCTCGGGACAGTTTCTCAAACCTTGGACAATATTGGGTATGCTTCAGTCAGTGTTTGACACTGATGAGAGGGGCAGCATCACAACCACAACAGCAACCTTTAAGTAGCTAGTCATGCTGTGAGATTTTATCCACTTTTTGACAGTTGAAGCCAGATCATCTTAAATTAAAAGCATGTGTAAACCTGCACTTAGGCATTTTTTGCCCCGACCAAAGTCATATACCTTCTGTGTAAACATTAGAGAACAATTTTAAATTACTGAATTAATGCATTTTGTGGTGTATTTAAATGTTTCAACTTCACAGTAAGGGTGAAAATTTCTTCATTGTGACCCTTTCTACTGCTAAAGTTTGTCTGTGGAGATCACATTGATGTATGCTTGATTTTACACATCTGTAAGCAGTGCGTGTGGCTGCAATAGCTGAATCGACTAATTAGAAAGGGACTGCACATACATCTGCCCATAAAGTGATTCTGTTTATCTGTAAACTAATGGAGGACCAAGACTGTAGGAATCCTTTTGTAACCCACTACAGACAGTGTCATTCAAACTTATTGTAGGCTTTGGTAAATATGAGGGGAAAAAAAGCCTTGAAAAATGTCTTTAAGCTTGATGCTTCTTTGAACATGAGTGAAATCTAATCTCTGATTGCATTAAAATTTCAAAAACAAGTTTAGAAATGCTTGATTTTATTATTATTTTATAGTGGTATTGTTGTCTGTATTATTAACTGCATATGTAAACAATACAAATTAATGCCAGAGTTTTGGTGTTAAATCGGACCAGTCCATAGAGTTCAAAACCACACCCATTTCATAAACATGAGTACCAGATGTACCAAATTAACCAGACAACCACCTAATACATTACTCTCAGCAAAAAACAAACATTGGATGCAGTAAGGCACACTAAAAATAGATTTATTACAAATGAAATTATCCAGTCATTGAAAAACTGTATCGACTAGGGTCATGTTGACTTTCCAATAAATAACTACTTCCCAGTATTCAGAAGATAAGATCTAGTAGCCTTTTTTGCCATTGCTATGACTAAGCATTGTTTTGAAAGATTTTAAAATGCTTAATCAGATTTTTTTTTTTCTCCTTACGCAGTCCTTCAAACAAGTGAATTACATCCTTCCTTCCCACTGCTGTGCACCGGATACAGTTGGGTGAGTACACTGTTCTTTAAACTGTTGTTGTGGTAATAATAATAATAATAATAATAATAATAATAATAATAATAAAAAACATCTTTCAGGACTTAAAAAGATCAGCTGATCCTTACTGAACACCTAACTCCTAAGGATGGCCCATGGATCCAGTACATGTCACCACATAACTCCATCTGATTCAGAGACTTTGACAGTGTCCTTGGAATCTGAGGAGAACTTCGAACATCATATTGAGCAGCTTACTGGAGAAGATAAACTTTCAGGCATGATGGTTTCTGAAGAGGTCCCCACATCAGACCTAAACTGTTTGAATTCAGAGGCAGATTCTCTGCAGGACACATGCCATGAACCACCATGCCCAGAGGACAGGAAATCAGATGAGTCTGCAGGAGGTCAGTCAACAGATATCAAAATAAATCTGGTTACTATCACAAACGACCCATCTGTTTTGGATACAGATTCATGTAGGACAGGATTAAATCCTAGTTTGTTGAGTATGGCTGGTCTTGAGGGTTACTCAGATGTTAGCAGCTGCTCTGAAGTAGACCTTGACTGCACTTCAAATGCCTTCATCGAAGAAAATCCTGATCAGTCTTTAGAATGTCAAAGTAAAAGTACAAAAGAAGCAGATAAAGTGGAAAAAGATCCTAGTACATTGTTCCATTCTGGTGATTTGAGTTGTGCGTTAGCAGCAAGTGGCAAAGAAGCAACAATGGAAGAGAAAGATTATGACAACTGGGAACCTAATGAATCAGAGTGTGAAAGAGGAAGTGATCACTTAAATAATGCAATGAATGATGGTAGCCATGGGGAGAGGTCCCTCTTAAATCTCCAGAATAAGTGTTTGAATGGTGAAAGTGAGTGTGCTTTGAAAAATGAGGAACAATTGGAGAAGAGAGCATGTGTTTTTCAGAACTCAGACTGCTGTGTTGAAGACCTGAACAAGGATTGCAAAGATACTCCAACTACTCTAACTAATTCTGTTTGTGCCTTGGAGTTGAATAGTGTGAAGGAGATAGAAGACAAAAATAATAGTGACATAAATGGTGGTAATGATGCTTACACCCAAAGTGGTTGTCAGATAGAAGCAATCAGCAACCTGTGTGAATCCAAGCTTGTTGGTCCAGAACGTGAATCAAACCCTGACTATGAAAAACCACCCACTGACAATGAACTGCAGTCTGACAAAACAGAAAGTAAATGTTCTGTCAGTAGAGAGGTTGAACGCAGCAGTTTTGAATTCCTACAGTCTTGTTTGGGCTTTAAAAATCCAGAGCACAGCTCACCTTTCTTGAGTAGTCTGGTTTGTGCAAAATTAGACCAACATGAGACCACTTCAGTATGTGACAATATGAATGAAACCTCAGAGAATAGTGACATTAGTAACACACAGCCCCCAGTTCTCATGAGAGCTACTTTTGAACCTGTTACTGGAGATCAGATGGAAGAAGCAGTAGATGGTGCGCAGGAGCCTCCTATACTGAGTGCTTTCTACAAGGCTCTGGGATCTTCAGAAACTGGGCAGCAAAATGATTGCATAGAGGGGCAAATGATTAGGGACTTGGCAAGAACTGAAAGTGGAATTGAGACCAGGATCACCAGAGAAGTTTCCTTGGTGTCATCTCAGAAATTAACAAAGAAACTGCAGCCTGTTGTGCTTGTAAAGACAACTGAGCAGAAAGCTGATGGTGGAAACGAATACCATTGTTCTGCATGCAAAAGGAGCTTCCAAAGTGTAGATGAGCTTATTGAACATTTCCACTGTGAACACTCTCAGTGTAACTTTCAGTGTTGTCTCACCTGTGAATGTTATTTTTCCAGTGGAGCATTGGCAGAGCAACATTTGTGTGAGCAAGTTAAGCCAAATCACATGCACCTGCCTGGTTCTTTACACACTAAGGAGCAGGCCAAGAAGGTTGTTGCAAAATATGTGTGCATGTACTGTCTCAAACCTTTTGTCAAGAAGGCTTATTATCTTGATCACGAGCAAAGGCATAGAGTCATCACACAATATAGATGTGCTTGCTGTGGTTTGTACTTTCCACATATAAGTAAACTGAAGGCTCACAAACGAAAGGTCAGGTGCACACCCTTGATACTAGAGCCCCAGGAGCAGGCTAAAGAAAATTTAGAAATTGATCTGAAAAAAGCAGGTAAGCCCACTGCCGTACTTGGAACTGATGGCTGTAAGATCAAGCTCAATGAATGTTTTGTGAAAATGGTGGACATAAACAATGGAGACCATTTGCCTCAGAAAATATTTTGCCCAGTTTGTGGAAAGATCTTCAGACTGAGAGCACAACTGAAAGCACACCTCAGATCACACTCTGATGAGAAGCCCTTTAAGTGTGACGTTTGTAAGAAGGATTTCAAATATTCCTGGAACCTTAACAAGCACAGAAGGGAGCAATGTTCTCAAAAAGTTGTGCGTCATGAATCACCCGAGCCAGACAGCAGATCTTCTTTGAGATTCAAGTGCCCCATTTGTCCACGAGTATTTAAATACTCCTACAACAGATCCCGGCATTTGCGTGAGCAGTGTGTAAAAGAATATACTCGGGCAGGAAAAGGAAAAGTTGGAAACGGGTACAAATGCCCATTGTGTAGTAAAACATTTACCTTGTCTTCCAATCGTATTAGACATATTAAAAACACTTGCTTTCAGAGGTATAAACTCAAAGGGATTGTGATCAAAAGGAAACAGACCAAGGCCATCAAGGAACAGGTAAAAGAAGAAAAAGAAGAGAAACCACTGTTGCCAGTGCCCTCCCAGAATTTGCCACCTTATAAGTGTAAACTGTGCCCAGCTGTATTTACATACAGGTCTGGAGTGTGGAGACACATGAAAAGACACAAGTTGCTTCAAAATACCATAACGCCAACTGGCAAAGATGACAACCTTAGTGATCCGAAACAACTGAACTCTGATAACCAAACAACTCAAAACCAGGGGTCTTCTGGCATGGTCTCTAGTCCACCCTTATCTTGTCGCTTCTGTGAAAAATGTTTCAGTTCGACTTCCTCACTGAAGAAACATTTGCGACTACATGTAGGAAACAAACCATTCCGCTGCTTGGACTGTGGTAAAAACTTTGCGAGGCGTGGGCATTTAATAGGTCACAAAAATGTTCACAGGCGAAAGATACAGTGTTCTGTCTGCAAAAAAATTCTTCCCACCATTGGAGATTTGTTGAAACACCGACAGTCCCATATAAAAAAGGGAACGCTTCAGTGCCCAGATTGCCCAATGCAGTTCAAGTTTCCTGTGTACTTGCTCCGCCATGTTGCAACGCATGAAAACAAAAGTAAACATAAACCAGCCCAGTCTCCACCTGAAAACCAACTTCAACCAAATGAAGCAACAGATCAAAAGATGGAGGAAATTCATGAAGACTTCATATGTGGAGTGTGTAAGAAGGAATTTGTTAATTCCAAAGCGCTGAGTGAGCACTGTTTAACTCACATGCCTAAACCATCTGTTTCCAGATGTCAGTTTTGTAAACGTAATTTTCAGAGTCGAGCGATATTGATTCGGCACATCCGTCTTCACACTGGTGAAAAGCCTTTCCCTTGCCAGAGGTGTGGAAGGCATTTTTCCCGAAAGGAATATCTCAAAGCTCATAAAGAGAAATGTGCAGACCCACAAGAAAAATCTGTAACATCAAACTCTGTTCAAATACAGGAGAAATCCAAAATAAGTACAGTATCGAATGAAGTTCGAAATGTTTTCAAGTGCTCATACTGCCCTCATGTCTTTGCCATCTCAAGCAGTTTGACACTTCACGAAAGAGCTCATGTGGCTAAGACCCTTTTGCCATGTTCAAAGTGTGGAAAGTACTACAGAAAAAAGAAAATAAAGGAACACCTGAACAACTGCAGGGGCAAGGAATCACAACATGCCTGCAGAAATTGTGGAGCTACATTCAGTGGGAAAAAGAAAAGGAATGCGCATGAGAGGAAGTGCAAAGGCACCGATTCAGTTGTCGAAAATAAAACATGCAAAACATTGAAGACAATTGGGGCAAGCCTCAAGGACAAGTTTAAGGAGCGGTGTCCACATTGCCCTAAACGTTTCAGATTTAGAAGTTACCTCCTGAGACACATTCGTTCTCACTTAAGGAAACAAAAGTTTGCATGTATGCACTGTGGGCAGAAATATGACAGTCAGCAGCAGTATCTACAGCATGAGGCCTTTTGTGATGGTGTGTTCAAGGACTCTAAAACAAAAATATTGAATGAATCTGCAAAATCCAAAGCTGTGTCAGAAGATGCATCAAATCTGAAGGATACCAGAGTAACTATCAAAGAAAATGATGGGGAGTTTAAGTGCAGTTTTTGTACTAAAACCTTCACAAAACCACGAAATCTGAGGCGCCACATCCTTACACACACAGATGTCAAGCCTTATCGTTGTAAGGCATGCGAGAGTAGTTTCTCCCGATACGATCATCTGAAGCTGCACCAAGCACACTGTAAAGGCAAGAGACAGCGACTTGAAGTGCGAATTGAAAAGATCAGTGTTGACCTCTCTGGCACAGGCTGGCAAACTAAAGTGCAGCAAGCAAGCGATGTATTTGAATGTAATGTTTGCTCTAAGCAGTTCTCTGCCCGCAGCAATTTAACACGACACATTTCCATGTTGCATTCTACTTTCAAACCTTTCACCTGTAAAAGGTGTGGCAACAAGTATAGCTCTAAAAAGACTTTAAGAACACACCTCCTCAGGGTAAACTGCGAACCGTCTTCACAAGAGAGCTTGAAGCCACCTCAGTCAAGTGCTCCAATGCAGCCATGCAGAGAAACATCTAAACTCTTGCAACGCATACATGGACACTACTCAAGTAAATTTAAGTTCCACTGTGAGTACTGCCCCCGCCGCTTTCAAAACCAATCACAGTTGAAGATGCATATTCGTCTTCATACAGGGGAAAAACCTTTTGGATGTGCCAGTTGTGGTGAGCGTTTCATCAGAAGAGACTATTTGCAGCGACACTTGATTAAATGCCACGAAAAAGGAGAAAATTTTGATAAAGTGCTTTGCGATAGGTGTGGTGGTTTGTTTACTAAAGATGCACTTTATATACACCAGAGGATTTGCATCATTAACAAGTTACATGACTCCCCCCAAGCAACCAGAACTGGCAGCCCTTCAAAGATCAAGGGATTTTCCTGTGTTAATTGTAGTGCCCGTTTTTTGTTGTTCTCCCAGCTTCAGCAGCATTTTCTGACGAAACACAGATCTGATGGACAACAGCAGTCAAACAGCTTAGAGTACCAGCAGTTATCAAGTACCTTTAACATAAAGGAGGAACCAACAGATGAAGGGTATATTGAGAACCTGCAAAGCAGCAGCCAAAAGCATAGACATGAGAATACAAATGGGGAAAAGAAAAAACCATATGAGTGCCATCAGTGCAAAATGAGGTTCATCAGCAGCAGTGGCCTAGGAATGCATATGCGCACTCATACAGCAGATTACCCTCTTTCTTGCAATAGATGTTCCAAAGGATTTTGGAGCAAAAATGTACTGCAAAAACACAAGAGAAGGTGTAAGGGCCTAGAAGAAGTTCCAAAAAAAGAATCTAACCTGGAAGGCGCAACGTTATCAGAATCAGAACTTAATGATACGGTCCTTTTATTTAATAAAGGCTCCAATACCACAGGGACTGGTGTACTGCAAACAAAGTTTTCATGTAAGGATCAGGATCAAGGAAACATGGACAAAGGAGACGCAGTTGTCCACAAGTATCAGTGTTCAGAATGTGATCAAAGTTTCACAGATGGCCTCAGGTTAATAAGTCATCTTGAGGATCATGGCCGTGAAGATCTGGAGCGTAGGTTAGGCAGTAAGCATCGATGCCACCTGTGTGGCAAGACCTTTGAACAAGCTGGGACACTACAGAGACACGTGAAGATTCAGCATCAGGAAACAGTTTCTAATACGTGTCCTGAATGCTTCAGAAACTTTCGCTGTCCCTCTGATTTGGACATTCATAGGTCTTGTCATGATCCTAATCGGCCATTTGTCTGTAACACATGCAACTTGAGGTTTTGGACACCTAAAGCCTTGAGAATTCATCAAAGTCATGCTCACCCAGGTATTCAGCCACCTAACGCAAGTGAGTCTAGCACAGGAGGGTCTTCAAAAATGTTTACATGCCTTCCCTGTAATAGAGCCTACGCGACAAGGAAGTCATACATGAGGCACTGCAAAGGTAAACATAAAGGGAATTTGCAAAATCCAGAACTTACAAGTGCTCCCTTGGACAAAAATGAATCTGAACTTGCAAATGATGCAGGGAACGAAGATGCAAGTGATAATGATTCTGACTCCGCACCCTATTTTCCTTGTCATGTCTGCGGTAAAACATTTCTGACATCAGAAAATCTTGAGGATCATCAAAGATGCCATCTTGGAGAAAAACCGTATGAATGTGAAGAATGTGGCAAATGCTTTTTTCAGCTTGTAAACCTGCAGCAGCATCAGCGTAGCCACAAAACTGAGTTTCAGTGTCCTATGTGTGGTAAAGGTTTTATTTCACTCTTTGCCCTGCGCAAGCATAAGCACACTCATGTTACTAAACGGCCCCATCGCTGCACCAAGTGTCATCTAAGTTTCACAGGATCTTCACAGCTGGCAGAACACATGATCACTCATCGTGATGAAAATTTCCCCTGTGACCTTTGCGATGAAACATTTTCCTGCAAATTGAGCAGAGCAGAACACCGTAAGATCCACACTGAGCAAGAGGAGGAGCTCCCTCCTTTGATTCCACCTGCAAAGCAGACTTCACCTCCGCGTAGGACTAGTGACAGTCCTTCATTAAACAATGCACAGCAATACAAGTATCGCTGTGGAATTTGCCAGGTGCGATTTCAAGATCCAGAACAGCTCTCGGAGCATGGTTGCAGTCCAGCAAAAGAGCGCCCATATTCATGTCCTGAATGTAATATGCATTTTTTGCACGGTTCTCATCTGAAGAAGCATCAGCTCAGTCATCAGTTATCTGGGCCACATTCTTTTCAGTGCAAGAGTTGCCACATGAGCTTCAGTCAGCGCAATCAATACTTAATCCATATGCGAAGACATGGTGATGAGCCTTCAGACTCTCAGATCAGTGAAAAAGTGAAGTTGTTAAATGCCAGTGATCTGAATGAGGACAAAATCTACAAATGCCCAATTTGTCCAGAGAGCTTTGCTCAAGCCTTAGAGCTTGCAAGTCATCTTTCTGTTCACTCATACATGTGCAATGTTTGTAAAAAGACTTTTGCAACTAAGCCACAGCTTGAGGAGCATGAGCAATGCCATTTATCTGCCGCTACACAGTACGAGTGCACAGAATGTGGAGACAGCTTTCTTGGGAGTGATGCCTTTCGTCAGCATAATTGTGCTCGCCAGAAACACTTTGGGCACTCATCCAAGTCACCCCCTCGCAAAAAGAGATCTACAGGAACTTCGCTGAAAGTCATCAGTATTGATGAAGAGGAAGAGGAGGAGGTTGACGTTGGGGAAGACTTCTATAATTGTCCTGTCTGCAACAAGCGGTTCTCTTCCAGTAGCAGTTTACAGGAGCACCAGAAGGTGCATGAAGATGGACGTCCCTTCAAGTGTCTGGTTTGTGGGAAAGGCTTTGCGAAGAAGAAATATCTCACACAGCACCAGCAAATACACAGTGAGCGTCCATACAAATGTAATTTTTGCTCGGAATCCTTTAAGACTGAGCCAATGCTTTTGTCCCACCATAGAACCCATGACTCAACAAGGAAACATCAGTGCTCAGTGTGTAACAAATCATATCGTACAATGTCTGAACTCTCAAAACATGAACAGAAACATCCAGAATTGCAGAGTTTGAAGGAAGGAAGTGGTGACCATAGATGTGATATGTGTTATAAATCTTTTAATTTGCTTTCTCAGTTGCAAAAGCACCAGGAGACTCATGTCGGCCAGGTTGTCTATGAATGCACAGAGTGTGACAAAGCATTTGCTTTTCTAAATCTTTTAGAAGAACACCAGCTGACTCATGCAACTTCTGCAGCTTCTTCGCAGCCTCAGTCACCATCCCCCATTCTCTTTGAAAACCCAGTCGATGAGTAGAGCATACTGTAGAGTATTTCCTGCAATGCAGGTGATTTTTAGTCATTCAGTTTTCTGAAAAAATTATGACTGTACAGTTTCTTGACACGTTTTGGAATATTGTGCTTTACCATGTTGCATCATATACACAAAAGATAGATTTCTCATTGTATTTTAATGCCTCCTGTTATGTGTATATATGTACGCAGTTCTTACTTTAGTTTTGTCTATTGCAGTTCTGAGAATTCAAAACTTTAAGGAAAAAATATGGTTTTGGTGGCAAGATGAACTTTGCATGCCAGGTAAAACTAACAAAAAATGCTGTTCAGATATGTTCTCCCCATTTGTGGGGCTTATGTGGCATAAATATCAATCATCATTATGTCTACATTTCTTGTCCTTTTGGTACATGTTCACCTTGCAGTGTACTTCATCTTTTGGAAACAGTTTTTGTTGTTTAAAATTAAGGAGAATTTTTTTTCCCCTTTCGTTCTTTCTTTTAAGTTCTGACTTCTTCTGTAATTTCCTGATAACTTGTTTTAGCCATGCCTTTAATACCTCAGTTTGCAAAGATTTGAATAAAACTGTTAAGGGTTACTATGAATATTATAAATATGCCTTTGTATGTTTAAGTTTCTTTGTATCTGCTGTTTCATAATGAATGTTTTATTTTGTTCCTCTTGATAGAGATTCCATACTATAACTAGCTTTTGCTTAACAGGTGGTTATGAGCACCTTTCAAGCACTTCATGATTTGGTGTAGTCACTTGTTATGGAGATTGACTACCTTTGTATTAAAGTGTATACTTTATGCATATATTTTTTTTTAAATACACATGTCCGTGTATGAAATTTTCAGACTGAGACAATAAACCCATTTTAATACTGTTGTCATTGGTGGTCTGCAACTCTGTTTTAACACATTCAGTGACTACCTGGAAAGTTACTAGGCAATGTTTTAGAGAAGGAGTTTCCATTTCTTGAGTCAATAAAAGGGGGGGGGCATAAAAATAAAGCTTTTGTACTTATGTACAAGTTCTAGTCCTGGTCAAAAGCTGTATGTAGACTAAAATCTCAGACATTTGATAGTCTTGGACCAATATTGAACCACTGGTACTCATGTAAACATGACTCTCCAGCATGTTTGGCTGCAACAGTGATATTGACTCCTATTCTGGTAGTTTTCTGGCTGTGTTTTGCCAGCTCTATGTTATGGGGAGGAATATAGAGTTGTAATGCATTGGTATAGAGTTTTCTTTACATCTGACTGAATAAAATGCTTTTTTTGTCTGGACCAGAAGTAACTGCTCATTCACTGGTAGTTACATTGAATGGCACATTGGTTACAGTGCTCAAAAGTAGTCTTGGGACACTTCTATCGTCCATGTGTTATGTATTACGAAAATTGTGCTTTATTATTTTCAAAAGTGACCTGTCCAGGGTGTATCCTGCCTTTCGCCCAAAGACAGCTGCGATAGGCTGCAGCACCCCCTGTGACCCAGAGGGATAAGTGGTTTAGAGAATTGTGAAGTGTCTAAATCTGTCAAAAATTGTTGTATTGTGGTTACAAAATGTCTGATACAAAGATTATGGATACATTGTGGATTGCAAAGTCAAGCATAAAAATGTACTTAAGTGGTGGAAAGAGAAAAGAGAAAATCCATTAAACCTGGTTGAGCATGAACCCTGCGATGGACTGGCGACCTGTCCAGGGTGTATCCTGCCTTCTGCCCAATGATCACTGGGATAGGCTCCAGCACCCCCCACGACTCAGAAGGAAAAGCGGCTTAGAAACTGTGTGTGTGTGTGCTTGAGCATGAGTTATGCAATATGGATGTGAATGTTATGAATGATTTAAAGAAAACTCCTAAACCTCATCATGAAATATTTTTCTCCAACCAATTTGTGCCACAAGTGTTGGCATCCCTACATATTTTGCAAGTGAAATCTAAGGTATATTCCTATTTATATATTTTAAAGTTCACCTGAGTAATTAAACACTTAAATGGGCAGCCTTGATGTTCTGTTTCACTGGGGTATAAATATGAGGTAACATACAGGCCAAATTCACTTAGGCTGTATCCTGAAACTTTTGCTACTTCTCCTGTCTTGCCCCCTACATTCCTACGGCTGCTCTCCTACCGTGGAAGAAAGCAGAGGTCTTCTCTGGGTGTGCATGCAGTGATGTCACTTTAAAATCTGGGTAGAATACACATGTGTATGCTCCACTGGAAGCTGCTTTGGCAGATGTTTGAAGGGGCTTCTCCTGTCTCAACCAGTATTCAGATCAACATTGGTTTCGGGGTCACAGAGGAGAGGAGTAGGATTGCCAGAGAAATCTTTCAGGGTTTCAGGATGCAGCCTCTGTCATCCATCACTATGAAAAAAAACAGGGAGTTCAGCAATGATGTGCAACAAAAAGTTGATGAACTGTACAAATTAGAAAATGCTGAGGAGAAAATACCTAGAGTTGAAAATGACCATTTCCACAAGGCAATAATTAAGAAGCTTAAAGCAAAAGGAGATGTTAAGTATCTGCCCGGAAGAAGGTGTATGTGAATATTGACCCCTTGCACAGTGAGGAGAATGGTTCAACTGGCCAAAGAATCTCCAAGGATCACAGCTGGGGAATTGAAGACAATAGCTTGATCTTGTCAGAACATCACACAAACTACAATCAGATGCCACCTACATAACTATAAGTTGTTTGGGGGGGTTGCCAGAAAAAAGCATCTGCTGTAAAGGACCAACAAACTCAAGCACCTACAGGCTGCCAGATGTTACTGGAACTTTCAGTAGGACCATGTTCGATGGTCAGATGGGATCAAAATAGAGTTTTTTGGAAACAAATACCAGAGGTGGGTTTGGGGTAGGCACAAAGATAGTCATGAGGAAAAGTACCTCATTCCCACTGTGAAGTATAGTGGTGGATCTGTGATGTTATGGGGTTATTTTTCTTTCAGAGGCCTTGGTCAACTTGTTCAGATACATGGTATCATGGCTCCATCAAAACCTGACTGCCTCAGCAAGGAAACTTAAGCTGGGCTATGGTTAGATCTTCCAGCAGGACAGGGATCCAAAACACCTCAACATCACAACAATGGTTCACTGACCACAGAATCAAGGTTTTGCCATAGCCAACCTATTCCCTTGATTAAACCCCAGAGAAAACCTGCGGGATGAGCTATCAGTACCAGGACAAAAGATTGTTTTCAAAGGCTGGAGTTAGGACTAATCAAGATCAATCTGGTTAACCAGCCCCACAACTACCCTGTCTTCCTAAGGTCTGATAAACTGTTTTTTCTCTTGAGTACATACATGTACTCAGAGCCAAAACAAGCTCACAAACCTCATGTTTGAAGTTAATAAGAAAATCTCATTGAAAGGCATCTGTGTGTCCCAGTGATTCTGCCCCTTGGTCCTGACATACCCTTGCACATTTTAGTGTGTTTCCTGCTCTTCTGAGGATGTTATAATGTCTTCATAAGCATAAAGTTGATCTTGCATTCATCACTTACTCATCACTAATGATTTAGACCACTTATCCTCCTGTGTTGCAAGGGATGCAGGCTGAAGCATATCCCAGCGCTCATTGGCTGGGAGGCAGGAAACACGCTTGACAGGTCACCAGTCCATCACAGGGCAGACACACACTCACACCTAGGGGCAATTTAGTATCTCCCACTGCATGTCTTTAGACTGTGGGAGGAGCCAGAGCACCTGGAGCAAACCCACACAGACATGGGAAGGACCCTGGTCATCTGGCCAGGGAATCAAACCCAGGCCCTCACTTGCTGTGAGGCAACAGGGCTACCCACTGCGCCTAATTTTGTGTTTGTGTCCTAAATATCGAGCTGGATCTTCTTTTTGAGCCTGTGTTTTTGATGGTAATATGTAATGCCCAAACATATGCCACTGCCAGAAAAAACAGTGAAATCTGATCCAACACCTCTTTCTTTTAAACAGTTTTCTCAGGATTTACAGAGACAGCAGTAGATTGACATATTTTTTTGCTGCGTCAGTAATATTACTTCTTTCAATTTTAATAAAATGTTATATAGTGCAGCGTTACTAAGCTGTGTAGTTGGATCAGGTGTGCTCGGAGCAGGGAAACCACCACAAAAACACAACATTATGCAGAGTAGGAGTACTCCAAGAGCAAGACTGAAAACCACTGATCCTCATTCCATACAAGGACCCTACCTCAATATTATGTGAAGGAGTAAGGAAAGACAAAGCGTCTGTTCAGAACATTTTAGTCCAACGTATGAAGGAGTAATTAAACCATAATTTAAACTGAATGGGACATTGTTAGAAAAATAAATAAATAACCCCTATTTTATCAACCATTTGGCTCAGTATGGCCATAATCTTTCCCATCAAAGCTGCTGCCTCCACCTTAGTCTCATGGAGACAGACTTAATCTCATACAGAAAATACACATCTGGGGACAACTTGTTAAACTTTGCAGCGAAATCTGCTGCTAGCAAGGCTTATGCCCTCTAACTCTAATGCATCTGATTCAGCCAATCAAGGACTGAGGAAGTGAACTGGCTGGAGCAGGTGTGGCAGATTGTGGTTGGACCCAGACTTTGCAGGACGGTAGATCTCCAGAACCAGGGTTGGTGACCACTGCTGTATTCCGTACACTTTTAAAATAAACAACACAAGCAAAACAAGCTAGCTAGTAAAATGCTGATTTTGGTTAACAAGCTAATTAGCTGTTTTCCCTTTGCAAGAGCTAATAGTTATGTTTACCACGTCATTTGTTCTCTGCTTATGCAATACACATCTGCAGGCCTCTGGGGTACTTTTCAGTCATGCTAACTTCCAGTGCATCCATGGACTAACAAAAGTCTTGTTGTCCGTTAGAAAATGTTGTCAAGTACCCTACCTTCCCACTCTAAAAAGTTACTGACCAAATCAAAGTTTTAGGATTCTTTCCCCATGGCCTCCAGTCTCACAGACTTCGGACCTACAGTCTGTGACACTCTACATCTGAAGTGCTCATTGTCATCATGTTGGATTTGTGATATTGCTGGGCGCTAATGAGAAGGCACATCAGCTCAACTCACTTCCATGGTTGACATTGTAGCATTGGCATAGAAAAAGACAAAACTTTGTGCATTCGGGCAAATGCTCTTTTACTTTGAACAGGCACTTCAACAGGCAACAAGAAATGCCCAAACCAGTGTTAACCCCAGCACAAAACGCTGGAAGTGGGTAACGTGGGAGGACACAACAATTGAGGAGGGCAGACACTTCCTTAGAAGCTTTACTCCAGGCAACACAACAACATTAATAACAGTAACAACATCAGCAACAACAGTAACAATTAGTGTTATTACCTGGAAATGTGGCACACTCCGAGATCCACTTTGCATGGCTGCACTTTCTAAGCTCCTCATGGCTGTGCAGATCCTGTGCTGGACACCACAGTACTGACAACTAAATCTGCACATTTTCATATGAAATGTGTAGTTATTATGTTTTAGAATTCCTCCTTAGTTTTTTTTAATGTCATCACCTGTTTCCTTATGAATTTTGGGTAACTTACAAAAGTACGGTATGGTGTTCCACAAGGCTCTCTTTTAGAACCTTGATTATTCACATTATATATGCTACCAATGGGTACCATCATCAGTAAACATGGCATCAATTTCCACTGCTACACTGATGACACACAATTGTATATATCGACCAAATCAGATGATAAACTTCAACTTAATAAAATTGAGCACTTCGTAAAAGACAAAATACTGGATGTTGAGTAACTTCCTCCTACTCAATGCAAACAAAACAGAGGTTCTTCTTCTTGGTTCAAAAGCTGCTAGAAACAAACTGTATAATTTAACGCTCAAACTTAATAGTTTCTTGGTTGCATTGGGTA